CAGTGCTGGGCCAACACTTTTTATCCTGTAGAGAGAGGTAGCCTCGGCAAACAGACTAGGATAGGTGAATGGGGCAGAGGATTATGTCCTCACATAGCATTTCCACCTCTATGATGAGCTAGCAGTTACCTGAGATTGGAGATAGAAAGGAGGGTAGAAGGAATTGTGTACTCTCATTAAATACTACTTCACAAATTTGCATTTAAAGGACCTCAGACTCCTAACCTGCTGAGATTATTGCTCCTCTAATCTAATTGGTAGCCATTAAAATTACCTTGAAGGCAAGATCTGCAGGAAGGGGTCCAAGCCCCAATTTGTCTCTCTCCTAACTACCATTTTGGCAATATGCCGGCTTGTTCTGAGTTAGTCCAGTGATTCAGATGGAACTGACTGTGGCCATAATCTCTCATCAGAGGACTGGTGGCATAGTGTTTGAGCCTTGCAGTGGGATGAAGAGTCACCAGACTCTTACCCACCAACGTTCTTCTCGAAGATGCATTTGTGAGAGACTGACGGCCTCCAGAAGGGACAGCCAGACAGGTCAGCTTGCTGACATTGGAAGTGGTGTGTCAGAGCCTTGAGAATGAGTGCAATTCACAGGGAAGAAGTATCGTCCCATGATCTGGTCTAAGAAACGAATTCAGGTTCGGTCCCGTCTCCCTGTGTGTCCTTAGGCAAATTAATATGAAGACAATAATCTCTGTCTATTTCACAGGGTTCTTGTGATGATCAAAGAAAATGTCTGTGGAACCAAAATTCTTTAAACTATCAAATATGACTGGGTTAGAAAGAAAGACTATCATAAGCATTGTAATCAAAGTTTGAGGAAAAGACTATACTGACAGGAAAGGGTTAATCAGGAAAAACACACCCATGGGCTGAGGCAGACAATAGGGATACTTTTCTGTCTTGGTCTGGGCTCCAGGGAAAAAAGCTTCCCTTGAGCATTTGTAACCACTGAGTCATCATTACACCGGTTGCAAGGACGCCCAAGCTGAGAAGTAAATATAAGCAGAGGACGGGCAGTGCTTCCTGCTGGGCAGCCGACAGCAGCAAATGCAGCGCCCTCTGCTCTGGAAGACTGGGCTCTCCTCCAGGCCTCGCAGGAGTTCCTCCAGCCGTGCAAGCATTTCAAGATAGTTACTATGTCCCCAGAAGACTTCTACTCTCAAGTCTAAATAGCTCCAATTCTTTAATTTTCATAAGATAATTTCCAGACTGTCACCATCCAATTTTTTCTGTGTTCTCCCTGATACGTCACTGCTCCATTTAAAATGTGCCCTCTTCCTCCAGAAGGCAACACTATAGAAGTTATCTAACATGTTTGGGATAAAATGAGACCCATTATAAAAATATAATAATAAAGGAATATAGCAGCATATCACTATAATAATTTGCTAATGTAATGTCACTGTAATAAAATTTTTATTATAGTAGAACTACTATTTAATGTATTTTATGTGCCAAACATGCATTATTCTTTTTAATCCTCATAAGTCTCTACATAGGTTCTATTATTATCCCCATTTTATAGACGAGGAGAAAGAAGCTTAGTAACTTGCTCAGGGTTACAGAGCTCCTCACTGGCCATAGAGACAGTAATGGGTATACAATAGTTCCCCCTTCTCTGTGGTGGACACAGTCCAAGACCCCCATGGATGCCTGAACCCACAGAGCATACCGAATCCTATGTTTACTATGTTTTTTCCTACATACATACCTCTGATAAAGTTTAATTTATAAATTAGGTGCAGCAGGAGATTAACAGTAATAACTAATAATAAAATAGAACAACTATAACACTACACTGTAGTAAAAGTTAGGTGACTGTGGTCTCTCTCTCAGAATATCTTACTGTACTGTACTCAGCCTTCACATGAAGGAGGGAGATGGTAAAATGCCTGTGTGATGAGACGGAGTGAGGGGAATGATGCAGGCACTGTGATGTAGCATTAGGCTACTATTGACCTTTTGACCATATGTCTGAAGGAGGATCGTCCGCTTCCCAGCCGTGGTTGACTGGGAGTAAGTGAAACAGTGGAAAGGAAGATCACGGGTAGGAGGGCACTACTGTAGAACCACAGCCAGTATATAACCCAGACCCGTCTGCCTTCAGTGCCCTTTCTTTAAACCACTGATACTCCACCTCCCTTAATACGAGCCCTCGTAGGGCTTCTGAAACCCCAAATGCCATTGTTAGTAACTGTCATACTCTTGATTGCGTTTGCAGTGAACTAAAATTCCTAGGATTTTCATTCCTTTAAAATGTAATCAGTTACTTTTCCTGAAGGTGTTTTCATAGGTGAGAGTAACACGGAAGAAGTAGGAAAACACAGGGAGAAAGGGATCAGAGCACCAGGGTGGCCGGGGACCCTGGTAATGCCTTTCATTTCCAAATTTGTAGCTCAACAGGTCTGGCAGGCGACAAGGAGCCACTGTGAATTCTGAGCCCACGAGTTCTTCTGGCACTTAAAAATATTTGGGTGCTTTCTTTTTCTTACATTTCTTGAAGGTAACAGTAATACTGCGTTTCTGAGAGCCGTCAGTCAGCTCTTACTGAAATCACCTTGTTTTTCGTGGAGCCATACCCTGGGAACCCAGAGCATTTATGTTTGGGAAGCCTGCCCCCTTCTGGATGAATGAAATGTTACATGCCACATTTTCAGAGTTCTCCAAAATGGGATCTAATTTGTGAAGGTAACACTGCTGTTAGGAGTTTTGAGGGAAAAAACAAATGCAGGTTTTTGAGATGATTTCCTTAAGTTTCCTGGATTACTTGTATAAATCTTTTGGTAACGTTTGTGGATTTTCAAATCACATCTGCCCAAACACCTGAAAAATGATGTTAAGAACCCAGAGAGGTCCCAACAATGGCAAATGTTACAGTCAGTGCTTTCTTTGGGCCAGGGATGCACAGAGGACCCCGTGAACACCGCCTCCAAGCACCCTAGTGACAGGTTCTGTGTATTATCACCCTACATCCCCAAGTTACAGAAAGGCTTACAGAAGTTGAGAGCCCCTCCCACACTCTCAATACTGCGTCCCCAGCTCCCAGCCACAGTTTGGGAGCCCCTGGGGCTCTTCTTGAACTTCTTCACCCCATCAGTTGACCACAGTTGATGGGACCAGAAATTGCCAGCCAAGCAGGGTTACCCAGATTCTTTCTCCTGGGAATTTGGAATCGGACTTCAGAGCAGCCATCAGTCCAGGCTGGTTACTTAAATAAATGGAGGTCACGTCATATAAACTCAGGAGCCGCTGTGGAAGACCATCTTCCACCATGTGCCCTGAGAAGCAGAAAAAAGATGATCGGAGAAAAGGAAAAGCATAGAGAGGAGCAAAGAGGCTGCCTTTCCTGTGCCTGGACCTGATCCCTCAGAGGCTCCCCTGCTGGTTTCATTGATTTGGCGTATTGAACTATGACTTTTTCTCTATTCAAAAACATATTCATACAACCAAGTCATATGAACAATATGTGAAAGTGAATGAAATCTAGTGTTATAATGAAAATCTGAAGTTGACATGGCACATTGAATGTTGTACATAATTTATATTGTACTCCATAGCAATTAGGCTCAAATAGGGAGCAATTAATGAAAATGACTGTAATTATTGTCATGTCAACAAAGGCAAACCAAGTGATTCCAGAGTCAGCTGCAGGGAAGACAGTTTAGAGACAGCAGGAAGTTGTTCTGCAGGCCCTCTGAACAACCTGGATTTAAAAACCAGGAGGTCAAGCCTTGCCTTGCCCGTACTTCTCTAGCATGGCTACTCCGGGAGGTCCAAGGTCCTTGCTGACGGGGGCGTGCGAGCACCCAGGAGCACCCCGCTCCTCTCCCTGCCTGCCTCTTCCCGCACGGCATCTCCAAAGAGGAGATGCTGAGACCTGCGGGTTGTGTGGGAAGGGCTGCTTGGGCTTGGGACTCTCTCCTCGTTGGCATTGTAGTGGTGGGAGCCCAAGAACGGAGTCTTTGAAGCCGGCCTTAGGGAGAAGCTGCAGCCTGCTTCCCATGGGCTGCTCTTCCTCAGTCCGTGTCTGCCGTTGGCACAGGGCATCATCACGCGGTCCAGGGATGGGAAGTGTGAGGTTGTCTGGCTTTGCTCTTTGTGCAGAGCGGTCCCTTCCTCGGGCAGCTGGGGTACAGAGCGTGACGTGGGGTTGAGGTGGACTGGATCTTGCCTGTTGAGAGTGCTGGGTCCCCAGCAAATACCATCCTCCCAATCTAACAAGAATCACTCAGAGCAATTACCAAAAGCCAGAATCCTAGATTCCTGGGACTGTTTGGGCTTAAAAAAGCCACTGCTTACACAGAGAAAAGTCCAGTGACTTGGACATATTCCATCTTCCTCCTTCTGCACTTGGCTAATCCGATACCCAAGTCTGAACTTTGACCTGTTGGAGGTGCATTTGTGTTAATAAGCAAATACAGCTCAAGTGTTGAAGATGTATTACTTCCTTGAAAATTTTTTTTGTCCTAATTGGCTGTGATCCTGGCAAGACAGCAATGGCAAGAGTATGGGAAGGACCAAGAAAGGTTTTCCTGGGAGTCACTCAGTGTGTGTGATTGAGTAATTGCCCTGTGTCAGGCATGGTGTCAGGCACTACAGGAAAAATTACAGAATAAGGTCTGTACTCTTCGGAGGCACAATGGGTGAAGCACTCACCCTTAACTAAAATGCTGACCTAGGGAGCATAAAAAAAAAGAGGCTACTTCTATCTTGGAACATCTAAGTAACCTCCAGATATTTTATGCAGATGATGTTGGGTTAAAATAAATATTAAGAGGAGTCTGGGAGAGAAAGGTTGGGGGTGGGAGTGGGAAGAAAATTGTAGGAAAGGGGAGGGTTGCTATCTCAGTGCTGGAGATGACTGCGTACACGCACATCTGAGAGCTGTTTTTAAACACCGGCTGTCTGCATAATGCCTCCCCGCCCCACTCCCCGCCCTCCAGCTCACCCCTCTTCCTGAGTCACCCGGTTGCCATTTCTCACTTGTAAAGGAAAAAAAGGAAAGCAGCGATGTGTACCGAACCCCTACAAGCTGCAAGGATACCCTCCTGCCTTCCATTTGCACATGCCACTGGGAAGAGGTGGAGTTTTATGAAGCTGGGAAAACCTGATACACAGAGGCTGCTCGCCGTCTCCGTGTTCCAGTCTGGAAGAGACTACGCCATAGTGCAAACTAGCATTTTACAGTTATAACTAAGACTTACGTGTTGCTTTTTTAAAAAGGTAAGAAAAAAAATAGTGTGAAATATAAAAAGTAAAAGTTTTCCCTTCTCTACATTCCAAATAGTTTGGGGTATATCCCTGTAAACTTTTTTTCCTTGTTTATACACAAATGTGTGTTTACACCCATGACATATAACTGTGTTTGTGAACATATATAATTTTTACATAACTAGGCCCTCCAGATATCCTGTCTCAACCTCACTTTTGCCACCAGACGTTGTATCACAGATCTCCTTCCTTCTCGGTGCGTACAAGTACTTCATTTTTAGCTCTAATATGTATATTCAGCTCAATGAATGTGTTTTTATCTCATTTAAGTGTTTCCTTATTGATGAGGGTGCCTGTTTTATTTCAAAATTTAATATTAACGTTTTCTTGTTGAAGTATCATCCGCATGTGTTTTAATTATTTTTCTCTTGCCCTCCGTTCCCGCTCCCAGTCCCTGGAGGTGTTTCGGTTCTGCTGGTTTTCCTGGTGCTTAAGGCCATAATTAAAGTAAATATCGGTACTTGGAGGCCTCCGCTTTTCTGTCCAGAACATACTGTTGTCTCGCCTCAAGGACAGCCAAGACGTTTGACATACTTTTGCTCTCTTTGCCTCCCTCCTTTCATCAGTAGCTAGAGTGGTATTTTTAAGTTATTTTCTATACATATGTCTTCTGTGCTTTGTTAGAGATTTCAAAAAATGGAAAGCCCCATTCCCCCCAAAAATGTATTCTGGTTATGTGAATACTATATACCCTGTAGTGCCAATCGGACGATAGGATCCGTAGAGAAGGAGGTATTGTCCTCTGTGACTTAACCGCGGAGGCAGCTCAAAGGAGAAACACTAAGGTCCCGTGGGGTATCTTTCTGTTTCTTTCCAGTTTCCTCGTAGGCCGTGCTGGGCTTCTGCTGTTCTCTGTTCATGGTGTCCAGGCTAATGAATCCAAGCTGAAGGACTCCGTATTCCTGAGTCCCTGTAAGAAGCACGAGGGTGCTGGGGGGTGGGGGGTAGAAGTCGCACTGTGCCCCCGCTGAGGGGCATGGAAGTCCAAGACGATGCTGCATTGCCTGAGGGCACCCACAGGTTCTATCAAAAAGGCTGCCAAAGGCAGAGACAGGTTCAACTAGCAACTTCAGTTCTGAGCTTGACAGCATAACCTGTGCAGATGCCAAACAGGACCAGACTCTATGCAGGGGATCAGGTTCCCGATGCAGCGCAGGAGTCCCCACGAGCCCCCAAAAGTGCTGACCTGAGGCCTCCCTGTCCCCAGGCTGCAGGTCGCCTGCTCCCTGGGGCCCACCACACAGGTGCCATGTTGGGGTGAAGAGCAGAAGGGAGGAGAAACAATGCGAAAGGGCTGTTGATCCAGAAGAGACTAATATAAGGCGTCTGGTATAGTTATTTCTAGCCAGGGGGAAAGAGGCTGAGGAGAAATCATGAGCAGAGACGGACTAGCTAAACCCATTTCCCTTCCTCATGGACTATGTTTTCTAGCCTTCCTCGCAGCTGGGTGTAACCATGTGAATGAGCTCTGAACAAAAACCGTGCGTGGCAACGACAGACTCCGTTTCCAGGCCCAGTCCTTGAACAGCCCCCCTGCATTTTCCTTCCTGCCCTTCCCGTCTGCACAGTGATCCCGGAAGCCATGTGTTGAAAATAGTGGAGCTGCATACGGAAGGCATCTGGGTCCCCAGAGATGTAAGAGAACTGCTTGCCAATCAGAAGCACCTTTTTTTTTGGACTTTGAGGTTGTGTCTCAGGTATCGCTGCATGACACACCACTCCAACAGTTAGTGAATTAAAACAACACTTTATTATACTCTCTCTCAGTTTTGTGGATGGATTGGGCTCAGTTGGGTGGTTCTCACTTGGAGGGTCTTGGAGGGTTGAAGTCAGATGGGTGGGGCATTTTGCTTTTAACTCTGAACTCATTCATTGCCCAGACCCTTTACTAGCCACTGGGAAAAATGTTAAGAATTCAGTTTCTCGTGCCTTGTTTCCAGGGATTCTGATTCAAAGGACTGGATGAGACTAACAAGATTTGCAATTCTAACCAGATTGTTGTATGAGCTTTATTCCTCTTGTTAGTTCTTCCCACTTCCTAAATTTCTGATTACCTAGAAAACAGAGGTCAGTCTCTCTGAAGATCTCACAAGTTTCTCTTTACCCAACTATGTATTTCACCACACCCTTAGAAGACCTTGAATCACTCGAATTCAAGAAGGCTTGAGTCTTTTCAGCCCTACCTTCCAGAGAGGATAAAAGTGACACTGCTTTATTCAGAGGAACATCGATCTTATTTCTCAAGCGAGAGGGAGGGAAAGAGTGACAGATTAGCTTGCTCAGACCCTAGAATTATCTTCTGTTGTGATTGGATTAATTGACTGATCAACCTAATTGTTTCAAATCCAGAATCTTAATCACAGAACAAGCCCCCCAACCGTTTTTTTTTTTTTAAGCTGCTTTGATCTTGGTTACCTCTTCTCCAAGCTCCCCACAGATGCTCAGCTCCCTTACTTAACATTCTCAGCTCATGTTTTCTGCAACTTGTTCAGGCTTTCTTCACCAGCCACGCCCCCTGCCCGGGATGTAGGTTCCCCACCCTGGCCATGCTAAGGTTTTCTCCTCCTTGAAAACACTGCTAACATTGACCTGTCCCGAACAGCAAGCCATACAGGAAGGAGGAGAAACTGAGGAAGGAGAACAGCTCTGTTCAAGGTCCGACTTCGCTGCTTCCTGGCTGGGTCACCAAAGGAACTCATACGCTGGTCTCTCATAAAAGGGCTTGTGCTCCAGGCTCACTGGCTTGCTTTCAGTTCTTGCAAAGAATTCTGGCCCCTTCCTGCTGCAGGGCTTTTGCAAAAGCTATTCCCTCCCCCTGGAACACGGTTGCCCTCCTCACCCTTTACGCTGGTAAATGCCTTCAGTGGTCGTGTCCTCAGGGACTAGGCCAGATGTCCCTCTTATACCACCATGTACCTCACCTTCAGGGCATTGATCACAGTCATAGATTTATATCGACTTGTGAGATAATGTAATTAACATCAGTCTCCTATAATAAACTGTATGCTCTCTGAGAACAGATACATCTGTTTTACTGTTTTATCTCCAGTGCCCCACACTCAAAAAATATTTGTGGAATAAATGAATGAATAATAATTGTGAAGATAAAGGAGACCATGCATGCCCATCACTTACCACTGAGTTGTTGTTAATAATAATATTACCTTCTCTGAAGCAGCTTTTGTAGTAATAACACCAACTATCAGGATCACAGGAACTGCATGAGCTGCAGTATATAAAGGTTGCAGGTAAGTTGTAAAGCCCTCGATGAAGATGAGCATTTGGGATCATTGATGCCCGTTAGTTCTTTTGTCCTGCAAACAGCTCACAACCCCCTGCACAGCCACCAAATGCATATGTACACAGAGACAACCATGCTTCTGTATCCTGACACATACCTGGCTTGGCTATTAAGTAATTGTCCTCATAAACAGATCACAGGCCAAACAGCAATGGCCCCTAAGTAGAAGAAATGGTACATTTTAAGGAAATGGCTCTCTTAAAGCTTAAACACAGAGTCGCTTGTTAAGATGGGACAGGCTTTGTGGCACAGGGTGAAGCAAGGGCACGGGGTTGAGACTGTGCAGAACTGGGGAAGCTGAGTTGTCTGTGTGGCTGCCCCCAGCAAGCGTGCAGCAAGCTAGTGAGCAGGGTTTAGCCTGTCATCAGTACTGGTGCCCAACCCGTCGGCTGCAGCAAAGACACAAATGGAGTTCAACACAGCTCTGTCAAGTTGCTCTTAATGTCCTAGTCAGCCACAGCTGGGTGCTTACAGGTAGTTGAAGCCACAGGGACTTCGGGGAAAGGAAATCATATCCGGTTAGAGAGGGTCTCAAACTCTTTGACAAATCCTGCCACTGAAAGGTGGCGGCTGTGTCTCCTCCCCTTGAATCTGGCCAGATTCTGTGACTGCCTGGCCCACAGAATTTGCCAGAAGTGGTGTTGGGCCCAGGCCTTAGGAGACTAGCAGCTTCCAGATCCTGTCTCTTAGAATACTCTCTGAAGAAGCCAGAGGCCAAGTAAAAAACCCATCCACTCTGAAACCTTTGTGCACAAGAAGCCCAAGCGCCAAGTGGCCCTGAAGGTGGCAGGAGAGAGAGATTAAGGGGCCCTGAGGTGCCTGGCCATGAACCAACCATGGGTATTTGAAACCACCACATTTTGAGGAGGTTGGCTCTGCAGCAATGGTAACTAAAAAGGCACCCGCAGCAAGAGACAGGCAGGGCCTCCAAGTCCCATCGGGGCAGGTGAGGTTCTGGGAAGCGCTGCTGTTCTGACGGGAGACTTGGCTGTTAGGTGACTTATGGGTTGAGTTCTGAGGAGGAGAAGTCCAGGGACATGGCTCAAGGTTTTCTGGCACCCAGCATGTCCCAAGACACTGCACCCAGTAATGAAGCCCACCGGAAGGGGGCACTAGACCAGTCGCCTCACTTCCTGGCCACGCTGGGGACTGGCTGAGACACTGCCAGAAACTGAACTGACAGCAGGAACCGTCAGGATGCCAGGAGGGGGGAGCCTGGGGATGGTACAGCGTGAAGGCTCCGAGAAATAACGCAAGCGTTGTGAATTCCAGTAGGTTTATGAGTTCCAATAAGTTTATGAAAATAAATTATTCATAAAAAAATAAGACTTGGAGTATTAATATATTACTACTACTACTTACTCTTTTAAATGACAAGTTTATCAATGGCAATGACTGTTTCTGCTGTCACCTTTTTGCTTCTTTTTTAAATTTCTTTCACAACGTAGAGTACATATCTTACAGGGTCAGGGTGATTTTGTTATCAAAATCGAACTTTCTTTTTTGCCTCCTTTGAGAGCCCCTGTGCTTCTGGAAATCCTAGGAGGGAGACATGAAACAGGGAATTGCAGACTACTAAGACCCCAAGGGAGGTGGCATTGCCAGGACTAACGTAAGGTTGGTTTAGTTCACAGTATTGAACAGAATTAAGGAAAAGAAACCAAAGAAGTTTTTGTGTAGCTTGTGTTATTTTGTTGACCCATCTACTGCAGTCATTTTCACAGAAATGTTTTAATTACATCAAGGGACAAGTTCAATAACATTTAAAATAATAGAAAATTACCCAACGGAAGATTCTCGATCCATTCTATGCCAGTTCTGTGGGGAGTTGATTGTTTTGTATTGCTTTTCCTTGTTTTGTGACTGACTTGAGCTGAAAATACACAAAGAAGCTTGCCAAATTTAAACTGTTAGAATGCCTTAGAAAAGCGAAAGCATGCATTTGCCATCACTGAGGGAATTATTTCCTTTACATCCAACATACAAGCTCTGTAGACTCAGAGGTAGTTCTCCCAGATTCCCGCGTGAATGCACCTCTTACACTAAGCTCTACTGCCTGGTTGCTTCAAGTGAGCACCGCTTGCTGCATTCACTAGACTTGAAGATTCCCAGTCAGGTTCTATCTACTAAATTTTTAAATGTTTGACACATGACCCAGTAGAGACACACAATATAAAAACTTTATGAATATGGTTGAATTAACTTAATTTCAAGGAACTCTTACAAACTACTGGGGATTACTACACTTTTAAGATAATAAAATATTTACCTTATCATAGTAGTTAATATGTGCTTTTAAAGAGTAATTTTTCTCTTAATTGGTTTGAGCCCCAAATTTACATATTACAGGGCTTAATATTTCTTGCATTGATTAATATTAATGATCTATCTTTGTAGCAGAAAGTGTTAAGATCATTGGAGTTTATAAACCCCATTAAAAATCTACATTCACCTCTTCCACTCAATCAAATAAATAAGCAATAAGATGGTACTTTCAAATGCAAATAAGGTCCACACCAGATCAACTAGTTATCCTTGGAAGTAATTGCTTGAATTTTTTGAATTCCCTGTTTTATAAATACCAAAAAGAAGTTGAAAGCGAGAAGAAGTTTGTGCACAAGAAGTTTGAAAATTAAAAAAAAAAGAAAATAGTCTTTGGATTTAATTATTTACAGTTTGCAAACAACTGACAACTATGTATTAAGTTTCTCTCTTCACAACTTCCTTAAAGATTCCTAAGGTAGAAAATATCAGTGAAAAGAATTTTAAAAAGAATTTTATTAGGGGACCAAGGTTAGGAGGTCTTTATAAACTTTTTAATATTCACTATTAATATTCACAACAGATTCTGCAGCTAAGTAAAGGATAAATCAGTGACATTTATACATCTTAAAATAGTATGTGTCATTGTTCCAGGGATCTCTTGCTACGTAACAAGCCCCCACAAAACTTAGTGGCGTAAACTGTTCATGGATTCTGCAGATCAGAAATCAGAGATGGCTCACCTGGGATCATCCATCTTCATCACGGTGTCTGGGGCCTCAACTGGGAAGACTTTAAGAGGTGGGAGCTAAGACTTTCTGGAGGTTTTTCTGTCTCATGTCCGGCACTGGGCCAGGGTGACTGGAAGGCCAGGCTCAGAGGCTGTCGCAAGAGAGCCTGCCCAGGGCCCCTTGTCATGGCCCGGGCTTGCTAATCGCATGGCAGCCTCAGAATGCTCAGGAGTCTCACGTGGGCCCTCCGGGCTCCAGGAGCATGTGTGCAGTGGCCAAGGAAACAGAGGCATAGCTTTTATGATACAGCTGCAGATGTCGCAGGGCGCACTTCTGCTCTATTTCCTGGTCAAAACGGTCACAAGCCCACCTACCTTCAAGGGCTGGGGATGTATCCCTCACCTCTTGGTGGGAAGAATGTAGAAGAATTTGTGACTGCCTAAAAACCACCCCATTATACATTTTGCCTCTTCTAACTCATTAGAAACATGGATCTCTCTCCCACCTTTATTAGGGTTCTCCAGAGAAATTGGCTCACACAATTATGGAGGCTGACAAGTCCAAACTCTGTACAATAGGCCGGCAGGCTGGAGGTTCAGGAGTCCAGAGGCTGGCAGACTCCTGGAAGAGCTGATGTAGATGATGGTCAAATGCAGTCTGCAGAAGAATTCTCTCTGGCTCAAGGGAGGCCCGTCTTCTTTGCTCTACTCAGGCCTTCACTTGATTGGATGATGATAGAGGGTAGTCTGGGTTAGTCAAAGTCCACTGGTCTAATCTCCTTTAAAGCACATTCACAGAAACACCTAGAATTATGTCTGACCAAATATCTGGGCACCCTGTGGCTCAACCAAGTTGACACATAAAATTAACCATCACTTCACCCCTATACCACTTTCTCAATTTTTAAAAATATTTCAAAATTCCTTTTGTTTGATTGCCAGGTAATTGCATCCTAAGTGCCTCTCTTCTGTTTTCTGCCTTTCTCGTTTCATCAGAGCTGAGAGTCATTCTCCCTCATTTACTCTTTGGATGACTAGAGAGTCACCTGTGTTTGATGCTAACATTCTCAGTTCCTAAAGAGATTCACAGACATAAATCTGCATCATACTAGAATTATGTACTGCACACGTTCAGGCTGGGGAGAAATAACCTCTGTGGTCTCCAGGTTTAAATCACCAGAAAGCAGGTGAGGCGTTACCTCCATTTTGGTCCTAAGCAGATCCCAGTTCACATCTCTTATCCTGCTTCCTTGTCTCTAACCCCCATTATCCTCTTCTGTATGACTTTCTGCTTCCTGCTGGACTGTTTCCTGCCTCACATTAATTAATACTCACTGTAGAGAGCTCTCAGCCAGTCAATAATTGCACAAAGTTCAAGCCATAAAATTCAGTCATTGTACTGCCCACAAAGTGCATCATTTGTGTTGATGTTGTTCTATTTCTGCTTCTAGTAGTTATTACAGAAAACATGCAAATGCAAGAATTGCAGGAAAGTTGTGTCTTGCCAATAGGTTTCAGCCCTGGGCAAGTTCACTATGGATTCAATGTGACCAAAGAAATGACAGTAGAACGTTCCTGGGGTGAAAGGGTTATACCCAACTTTATTTCCACGGTGGCAGGTCAGTCACTAGAATCCTGTCCACTCAGAGCGAGTCTGCATGCAGCAAGCCAGTCTCTGCCTCTGGGCC